TATCAGGAATTGATACACGTAGCTACATTTAGCATTGTTATTCGGAAAACGTTCAAAAGACAAGCAGTCAATATAGATTTAACAATGGATGGGAATTTTCTCTCTCTCTCTTTCCTTATCTTCAAGTCCTCTGTTTGTCACACAACTTTTTTTCACCATCCTGCGCTCTTTCCCACTGAAGTTTTTGTATTTTCAAAATCTGCCCTGATTTGGGTTTTGCATTTCAGTCATTTGTCGGTTATGTAAAACATGAGGATTTTTTTTTCGTCTCACTGTTTCCTTCCGAATACATAGAATAAAAGGAAAAACACGTAAATCGGCAATGATTAAATCCGACACAGACAACTTATGTACGACACACCTGAATGCGAACACAATGAAAAAGTCGAATGAAACGTGACATCTTACTTAACATTTTATGTGTATACCTAATTTCTAAAATTCTTTTGCACGTTTTTTTTCTGCAGTGCACACCTAGATACAGAGACAGAAAAAGGAGAAGAAGGAAAAAAAACTGAGCATAAATTTTGCTCTTTGCAATTACTTTGACATTTTAATTGCATTTAAGCATCGTTAATCTCTTTACGGGCATGTACATATATTCTCTCTCGTAGTCTCTGTTTTTAAAATGAAAAATTCATATTGATGGCGGTCAGTGTGTATGTGTGTCTATTTACCAAGTTTCTCGTATTTTACAGTCGGCTGCATCTCACTTTTCAGAGCTGTAAATTGGATTATAGAGTGACACATTCCCGGAGATCATCTATTAAATTCATTGTGTAAACATAGCCAGTGATTCACCATCCGACTGGACTGAGACGCGAGAGCGTCTGCTCGCACATACACTTAAGCAAATTGAATTTCTGCAATTTAATATATTCAAGTTGCAAATAAAGGTGTTTGAAGAAGGATTAGAACCCATCTTCCGGAGGAATTACCTTCCGTACAATTTTGATTTTATAAACAAATCCTCGTAAACATTTGGCAAGGCAATTTCATTAAAACAGTCTCTGGATTAACAAGTAATTCCGAATGTAAACACACCAGTAATGTATTGAAGAATGATTTCAATTCGATGCGACATTCATTTGGCTTTGAACACCTTAAAAGAACTCGTTTCGTATACAAAATAGTAAGACATTACACTGACAATGAATAGTACTGCGTAAATAGCAAATATGCTTAAGAAACAAATGGCAATGCTACAAGAAACCTTTCAACACGAACTGCTGTCATGATGTTCTCAACGATTAAGTGATTTCGATCTGATATTCATACACAAACATTCAAATGGATATCAAATTTGAAATAAAACACCGGACAAGACATAACGATGAATAATGAAGAGGTAGACATGAAATAAGATATTCCGAATAAATTAAAATGAGTAAAACAAACATATCAAGAATGAGAAGCGCAACTTCCTTGAACGAATTCCTCTCGTTAGTCAAAATATCTGCTGCTGCTGCTTCTTCTTTTTCTCCGATTTGTGTAACACAATTATCATCATCCATCCATTTCCTAAGCACATTTTTGACTGGTCAACCAATTTATGCAGTACAAACCGGTCATTTATTTTAACTAGATCCCAACAATGAAGATAATTACTACTTCACTCTCGAATTCATTATAATTATTTCGAGTCTCAAAACAAAAGAAGAACCAAACGAATTCATAATCGTTTCGAAAGAAATCGATGAAGATAAATGTAAGCAAAATGCTCACTGAAAGGAACTAAAAATATATCATGGTTAAAATCGAGATCAGTGAACGTAATGATTCCAAGTTGGAATTTTCGACCATCCAATTACTCGCGGCCAATAAATTATTTATCGTCGGAAGAAAAAAAAATGTAAACGTGTGATTGAAGAACGTTAAAGCAGCTTTCGTTCTAGTGATCCCATCTCGTTTGCGCAGATAAAAATCATCTGAATGGGCTCATTAGATCGCATTACAGCCAGTTGAATGGGATTTTAAGCGATGCGCCATCAAATGTTGTGACGTTGAACCATTTCAACCGCCGCAAGATTTCGTCAAAACATTGTTAAATTCAACTAGGCTTAGGAAAAGATTTACGCTGAAGAAACGCGGAAAAAAAGCAGGCCAAAATGAAATGTTTTCGGGTATGATGATGTTTCGGACGGAAAAATTGTGTGAAGCTTACTGGAAACAAATGAACCAAATCAGTTAGGCACCTCGCGGGAGAGAGTGAAAAAAATTCAAATGCTGTGGATTTTTTTCTGTGCGCTGTTTGTGGAAAACACAGAGACGACAGCCGATGGATTGAATGAGAAGCTGACGGATTTTTACGCATTACGAATTCATTGAAAAGATGTATTCAATCGTCGTTCAAATCAACGTAAATGAGCCCAAAGTCGTCGCTCACTGTCTCTTTCGTCCTCTAACCTTCTCTCTCTCGCGCGCGCGCTCGGTACGAAACGAGTCGATCGACCACGCATTGTGTTAAATGGCCAATTTCCGAAACGCTAAAAATAAACGGCTTTATCTATGTACAAGCAATTCCATTCACTTCCTTGTCAATACACATTATTTTAACAACAAATCGGTGCGAAGAACGAACACAATCTGCCCAAGCTACATACACCAAAATTGTTCAACCAGATATCGTTTACAAAACATACTGAACTGAGAATGCGAATACGGGAGACAGAAGAGAATGCGTGCTGTCGAATAAATCCCAATGAGCTCACTCATAAATTCAATTAAAATTCTAAGTGGCTTTAGTCATTTGAAATTGCATTAGACTTGAAAGAAGCGAGAGAGAGAGAGAGAGAAAAACAAAAATTGTGTGTATACGTTGTGTTTCGTCTGCCGTGTGTTTTTCAATGGTATTCTTAAACGTATTGCAGGCAGCTAATGCCATTACTCGACAATGAACAAGAGGTCTTTGCAATAGAAATTCGAAATACGCCAACAATATAATTGATGGACATTTGAATGGAGAAATATTATTTATTTGTTGACAGTGACAACAATGCACGCCAAGAGTTCCGTTACACCAAAACTTATTTCGATTGGCTCATACATTGCACATCGTTTTGCCCGAACAAATGGCTGAAAACACACTCTGCCAACCAAACACAATTGAAATGTGACGAATTTATGACAAATGTCGACAGCCAATGTCTAACGAACGAACACATTTTTGAACAAATCCCATTTGTTGTTGTTGTTGTTGTTGCGGTTAATGCCAAAATAATTTGTGATGAAAACAACAACAGAACCTCTTATTTCTTTCGAACTCTACATCCCTTTCGGTTTAATGATCACTCAGCATGGCATGGTTTTTTTTACTTCACTTTGAATAATAAATTTATGGAATTAATCTCACTTAGGGGATTATTGTTGCAATTAAAATATTTTCATCACATTCAAACTACTTCGGTGTCTTCAGAACAATGAGAAACAATTAACTTTTTTTCGTTTGGTGCCACACATATCGTATTGCAGTAGAACCAGTTCTATGGCTTAAAAAAGTGCGATTAAAATAAATTTACTCTACTGTGGTCATATATCCTACTGTGGTTTTGTCGAAATTTGGATTCGAGCACCGCAAAAATGTTCTACGCTATATGACATTTCAATGCATACATACAGGGCACAAGTCGAGTGTGGTCGTGATTCTTTGATGACATCAAATGTGATTTATTGATTATTGTAAATGGTTTTCATTCAAACATGAGTCGTTGCTGTCGTTGCAGATAGAGGAGGAAGCAAATGAAAATATAACGAACAATAGACCAAATCAAATGGCGGTAGTTTTCTTTTTGGTGCAGCACACACACAGTTCGGAAACTCAATACGTGATCAAAACAAAATTTTGTGTGCATCATTTTGATTCGATTTTTTTTCTCCTTACTCGAGTGTACGTGTTTGTGTTTATGTGTCTTTATTGACCTCCTGAATCAAACGGTAGTACTGTTGCTGTTGTTGCTGTTGCCGCTGCACGAAATCATCATAATGGTAAAATAAAACGAAATCAATAGTGGCTATAGCATCTAGAGTTGAAAAATGATTTTTCATCCAAAAATATTAACCATAAACAAGTCGAAAGCCGTACTCTCGTCATAATCTATTGTATACAAGTCCAAATGGAAACGGTAAATAAATCGGCGTATCCGAAGGGTGGCCGGGATATGCCATTACCACAGCCACACATTCGCAAACATGCAACACATTTGCCGTGCCATCCGGTCGGATGCCATTCAAAAATCGCACATAGAAATCCACAGCCAGTTGGAACGAAAAACGCGTTGCATCTTTGGCATACTCGCATGTGAAATATGCTAGACGCTCATCACGTACCACTCACTTCGATTGTGCAACATTCTGTTGTTTTGCTATTCTTCTTATTAATATTTCTGCTTGTGTGTATTCAGCTGAGAGTGAATACGCACGTTTTTCTCTCGCTCGTTGTTCACATTCGACTCATATATGTATGCGGATTGAGCGAAGAGCGTTGCATTTTATTGTTTACAAAACGTTCGTTCGTGTAGCGTATTTTTCGTTGCTTCTAGCCGTTGAAACTGAACCCTGTGCTGGTACGGTTGTATTTTTTAAAAGAGCGACAGAATGAGAGCCGCAGTGAGACGAGAGCTAAAAAAGCAACGCATTTATTACTACGTAGCAGTGGTCGCTCACTCACTCACACCATCAAAGTTGCACCCAGTCACAGCAGATCTTTCTTCCTCTTCTCCCTTCTACACAGTGACATCATAGCTCCCTTCGTCTCTGTGCGAGTGATCACACACATTTGATGTTTTGGTTTTCAATATTTTGTTTTTTCGTTTCTTTCTACTTCTCTTTCTCTCTCTCTGTCTCTCTTTCGGGCTGCGTATACACTCAGAGATTCCAGCTGCTTTACATTCGCTTCACTAATAACGTAGAGAATGAGCGAGCGATAGAAAGAGCGTAGAATAGTGTACGGCACGTTCGCCCAACAGGCAGTTAATCTTCGATATATTGCGTTCTATAAAAACAGTATATAATTTCATTTTGATGTGAATGCATGTTACGTGTTTGCTCTTCGAAAAGTGTCAAGAACCAAGAACCGCGCGCGCAATTTAAAACGAAATTGATTTTTTTTTCTTTGTCTGTTCAGCCGTTCATAGTGTGTTATGCTCTTCTATTTGATTGTTTCAATATTTGAGATGTATGAAGTTTATAGTTTTCCATTTAGTTTTCTGTAATTTGATGTCTATCGGTGTGTGTATGTTTTAAGCACAGCAGAAAAAACAAATACGATTGTTTAAGGATTCATTTTTAACGGCCCAAAATGCAAGATAAAATTCCCGAGATAAATTCAACAGTATGGAAACCAATAAATTAGACGAATCGTTCACATAAAATCGTTTTTCATAGTCACACAGACTCGACGAAAATTGCCACCCGAATGGGCACACCAGCCATTTATATCACCGAGTGCCAATTTTTTTTTTCGCGCTCGCATCTCAAAGATCTGCTCAGTTTTATTGACGCGACTTCGTCTGGCATGTTTGAAAACCAGGCGACCGAACCGAATAGTTCACACGCAGATGAAAAAAAAACGTCGACGAACGAACGAACGACAAACAAATCCATCATTAAATTCATGAATTTATTGAGAATCATAAATTCGAGCACCATTCAATTGCAGACCATTCCAATTGTTAAGACATAAATGGGTTTTTGCATACTTTTTTCTGTCGACCATTTCGTGGTTTTCGTGGCTGCGATCGGCGCACGAGTATGCAAGAGGGGGAGAGAGTGCTGAAAAATGGGTTGAGATTTTCATTTAAACGTGATAAGAAACAGTATTTTTTATGTAATCTTATGGTTGATTTTTATGTGGCGAAAATCGCATTTACAAAATCCTCCAGTCTAGCCATTCATTTTCCACAGATAAACTATGTGTGCGTGATGAAAACTCTATCCGCTGAGAGCTAGTGGACGTGAAAAAAACGACTACCACCAAAATACACATCGGAAAATATGAGAATGAAAATGTGCAAAACAAATTAATGAAACTGCTCTCTTGCATTCGAGTTTGTTTTCCTTCGTTTCTCTTCTTCTGTTTTTTTTTAAATTGTCATTTCAGCTACTGTTGATTCGGTGCCACTAATGGTTGCGTTTTTCCCTCTATTTTTTCAACTCGGTCATAAAATAGCAATCTTTGAAAAGAAGAGAAAAAAAAGAAAGATGAAAATTCATTTTTAAAACGGAAACCGTTTGCACAGACAATTGCTGCACGGCGCAATGCAACAGTAATCCGAGTGGTTCGAGTTCGAATTACACAATAACAAACATTATTTTCACATTCATTCGCACATCATCAGTGTTTTTTTCTGCACACGCTTCTTTCTTTGCTGTTGTTGTCTAGGGGAATATCACGCTTTAATTATCTCAAATATTTCAAAAAAATCCAATTTATCTCTAAGAATCTGTCGTATGAAATATGGTGGATATTTGTGAATACGGCGGAATATTGTGGATTTTTGTGATTATGCATGATATTTAAATGTATTTATTCGGATTGAATGCAAAAAATCTCAAATATCTCCAAAATCCACAAAAATCTGATTTATTTATTAGAAATATTCGAGAATATGTCATACAATTGATGTTTATTTCAAATATCTCAAATATCTCACAAGATTCAGGAGCGTGATATTCCCCTAGGTTGTTGTTATTGTTGCCATCTTTCAGAATGCGAAGTTCGCTGTTGCGAAGCGCATTCAGCACAGTTTTGCACTGTCCAACAAACAGACATGACCATTTATTAAATTTAATGGATATGAAAACGTGTCATACACTCTTTTTTTCTCTCGTCCGTCGACAAAAAGTCCAACAAAATTTATCGTGAAATTAATTTTAATTCGGTGCGAATGTTCCTTGGAAAATTCGTTAAGTGTGGGCGCGTTGCCAAATCGGAACCTAACGTCAATCTCGATTGAACATTTTCCAAAGAATATTTTGCCACGGGGATTGTATGGTGTCTGGCGTTGAGTGATATCACACCTCACCAATGCCACTGTCTCCATCAGATTGCTGGACTGTTTCCATGAGATTGTATGACTGCCATAAGCGAACATCTTCTCTCTCCTTTTTTTTATCAACATTCAATGCCTTTGCATGGTCGGTTGTTTCTTCTTCAAAGAACGACTTGGTATGCACGCAACTTCACTTGCAAGTGAACAGAGGAAGAAAAAAGAAGTAAAATTTAATTTGAATCGCTTAAAAACTTTGCACACAATAACTTTTCATGTTCTTTTGCTGCTTGATTTTCCCACTCACAGTCTCTGTTAAATCAGTGCAAAAGATTAAGCTGAAAATTTTTCGGCGGTGAAGCATGCGTTTCCATGTATATTCGCCACAAGCAACAAATTAAATTTTACCACTCGATGCAACAACAACAACAGCCATAATAACAACAATGAAAAACAACGACGTATCAAACTCTCGCTCTTCGTAGAAGTTTTTCCATAGTTTGGTGTGTTTTTCTCACTTTGAAGCGCGCGTTCCGGCCCGAAAACCATTGTATTGCTGATGATGATGTTTGAATGCAGTTTTTTTATCGCTCGAACGCCATTCCGACCATTATCATCGCATAATCTGTTTTCCATGCTGTTCACTTTTAGCTCTCTCTCTCTCTCGAACAAATTTTAGGGTTTTTTGTTTTTGCCTGACTGCAACGCATATAATAATGATGCTCTTCTTCTTTTTTTCTCCTGTTAAACAGTGTACACAAAGTTCATATGCAGACAAATCACGTGTAAAATATAAAAACAAGTGGAATAATGTGCGAAAACTGCAATTCAAATAGCAAATCGCAACCACATAAATTATAGCGTGTGCATATTCAGCGCAAAAAAAGGATATAAAGAAGAAACATTCGGATCTGATGGCGAAAAAGCATACGACGACGTTCTTTGTGAAACGATAAAGAGGACAATGTGATTTCTAGTTAGAAAGTCAATGAGAAATAACAGTCACGAAGTTTGTAAAAAAAAAACAGTGCAAGCGAACAAATAATTTATTGGCAAACGGCGACATCGTGGAAACAGTGTGAATGAACTGAGAAGAAACCGAGCACAAATCGTTAACACTACATATATAATCGAAAAACACAAATCAATCGTCTTTTGCCGGCGAACAAAAAGTGTCAAGTTTTTTTTGCCGTTGTTGGCGTTGGTTTTGTGTGAATCGGTTCAGCGTTTTTATTTCTTCGTTCCTGTGGTTCTTACCGGTATATGCTTGTTGCAGAAAAAAATTATTTATAATGACACTGGACACGCTCGCAAAAAGTGCAAGCATTTAGAAAAACCGTTCCGGTGCACACACAGACATTCCATTGAGAAACTGTGCTCGAACGCGGCCATAAGTGAAACCGATTAATTTTTAGTGTTTCCAAACATTTATAAATAAACACGGACAACGTACAACCGTTGGAATATAATGAATGTGTCTCAATGCATTGCCATTTCATGGAATTGTTGCACGCCCGAAATTTAAACCACACAAAGTAAGTTATTCATTGTTATTAGTTTCAGTTTGACAAAAGAATTCCTGTTTTCGGAAAAACTATTTCGTTGCGTTTTTTTTTCACTCGTCATTCGCCAAACAAACAAACACATGGAACAAAAAAACGGTCGTTTGACTTTTGTCCATTTGCAATTTGCTTCAGACGAAGAGAGAGCGAAGAGGAGAGGCACACACATACACATGGAGAGAGAGAAAGGAAGAAAGAGAGACAGAGCGCGCGAGCGCAAGAGAGAACTGATATCGTTGAATCGTACTATCTGATGACATTGCAACAATTCAGTTGGATGTTATAAAAACAGTAGTGTGGCGCATACAATGGTTTGTCATTGATGGTATTTCGACGGAGCGAAAAGGGACACAAAGACAACGGAAGCAATTTGTGAATGGAAAATGCATTTTTGTTTACTTTCACTTTCCATCAGAGCCTTTTTACTACCGTCAGTCTTCTACGTTACTTTTTTCGGTCGCTTACAATTCAAAAACCGAATGTAAATAAACCCAAATGGTTTGAATGAATTTTTTTTTGCTGCTGTTATTCTCCCTGTGCACTAGAAGTACGGTCAAAGTTGTTTCACACATATCGAAATTGGATCGTTTGATGACAATTTGTTTTCAACAATGTTTTATGGCAGATAACAACGAAACATCCCGTGTAAAAACTGACACTTCTTAATTTGTACAACTGCCAACTGTACAAAAAAGAGCGCGAACCCAAAACGCATATCACTTGCACATAAAAACAATTTAACTGTTGGTCCAATTTAAATAATCGCAGCAGATGAAACAACAAAAAAATCGAATATTGATTGGATTCGTGTGGCAGCGAATGGTGTGCAGATTTAATGATAATCCATCTTCATATAATTCAATTAATATCAATAGAATCAGCAGTAAAAAAGAGAAAAGCATTGGGGAAAAATGGCAAAAATCGCATAACATCGAAACACCATTTCCATCGATGCATACGAAGTGTTTGTGCATTCATAGAAAGCAACTCACTGCGATCGCAAACAGTGACAGCAACAACACCAAGACCACAACGACGTCATTAATCCAATAAAGATTGAATTAAATTCGAAACATTTAATGCGAGATGTAATCCATTTTCCGTTCACAATACATCGCACAATCATTGCATTGTTTTTGCCAGTTGGACGCAGCGACAGTGTGTGTATGTATGTTGCCGATGCATTTCAGGTAACATGAGCCCGACAGTGTGAATAAAATAGGGCTTAATTCGGTTTCCATGTTAATTCATGGCGAAATAATTATCGTACAAGACGGATATTGGGGTCAATTCCCGTATTTCAGTTGCGCGGCAGGCCAAACAATGCGGCCGCTTACAATGTGCCGCTCTTCTTTTGATTGACAATTTAAATATATGCCGTGCTATGTTTAAGCGTTCCTTTATTCTGTGATGCATTCTCAGCCTCTCTGATCGTCTGTACAAATAGATAGGAAACCTCAAACAAGAACAATAAAGCGTCACCTGGCGACTGGTTGGAGAAATAGAGAATCATGCACATAGTTTGCTGTAACAAGTATGCGTCTGTGTAATTCAAACGTTGAAAGTATGACACGTTGCACTTAGTCCCCAGGTGCCGCTGTATTGTTTACTATTTTCATGATCAGAAAGGCTGTGCATTCTTTCGACGCATAAACATTTATTGTTTTCAATTGTTGCTTAGAACTGCGTGCAAGACTCAAAATACCACAGCCGAATTGCGTCATTGCCACGAAGACGACATCAACAAACAATGACTTAGCGAAGCAAACATTGCGGACGTACCGTATCTGATTCCCTGTTTGACTAAAATGATCCGGTTTGCTCGTATAATCCATTCCAAATGCGAACGCTGTTGTTATTATTATTTTCAAACGGATTTATTTCGCAAACAATGAGCGTATTCAATGCGTGTTCGTGATATAATATCTGAAAGGAAGCATCCCGATTGGATGGTTTTCAAAATATTTAATAAAACCGAATATTCAATGATGCGAAATAAACATGAACAGTAAGCCGAAAGACTACGAAGACGAATACTTCGTAAAACAAACGCAAACACACACACACACACAAAACATTCCGGTAACTGAAACGACGTGCAATCTTTATCGTTCCATTATTATGTTAAAATCAACGAAAATAGAATAAATACTCGAGAATATGTAACAGCTACAGCACACACATACACATACACATACACACACCATCAACTCGTAACTGTATGCAATCATATTCGTATTTTTTGCATTGCAAAAATCCTAACTCGCTTGTTTTTGCTCGGCATCATTCACAAAAACGATATGCACACATAAAACTTTCAGCATTCATTTAATACCGGAAAAACTGATGTGATATTCGCAAAATTGCTTGTGAAACAGCAGAGAAAATTGGCGTGCATTAGAAAAGGAAGAGCAAAGAAAAGATCACATGAAACGTACACTTTTCACATACCAACGAAATGTTGACAACTATGTCAAGACATTTGAAATAGATATCATTCGCATTTCTTGCCAGTTGAACATGTTTGTTTTGCATAAATTCACGAAATTTCATCTGCCCTTAAAATCGTCGAAAATGTATTCGAAGCAGAGATAATCTTGACGAAAGAAGGAAGAAGAAAAAAAACACACCACGAAAAACTCAGAATCCACGGAAGCGTTAAGCGTAGATTCGGTCGAAATAGAAAGAGCTATCCTTTTCTATCCCTCTCCCTCTTTCTTCTCCATCATTGAGACATAACCAGATAGAGAGCAAAAGTTAATATTCGAACAAAAGCATTTGCCATTGCAAGCGAGCGTTTAGCGAAAAATGTATGTTTTTGAGTAAAGAAAACGGGTTTCCGCATGCCTTTAATGCAATTTCCGCTTCGGATGAAAAACTAACCGCTCTCTCTCTCTCTCTCTCTCTCTCTCTCTCTCTCTCTCTCTTACTGGTGGAATGATTGCCGTATGTTTGACACATTTTTGTGCAAAATGCGAATTGTGTGTGTGTGTGTGTGTGTGTGTGTGTGTGTGTGAGCAAATCAGCTCAAGAGGAAGATCATCGAGATGGAAATATCTCATATTAAAGTTAGAATGAGAGAGGCAGAGATAGAGACAGAGAGAAAACAAATCATGTCTCCATGAGAGCAAATCATCAAAATGTGATTTTCTGCTCTAAATTCCAATTTCCATGTGTCGTCGAATGAATATTCGTGAATATGCAATTTCTTCCGGAATTCGGAAACAGTTTTTTTGTTGTTGTTGCATTTTCGGCTTGTGCAATGCATCTTTCGAAATATTGAAATTGCTATAATGCTTTGCATGCATGTGTGCGCTGGAACGATGAACTCGCTTTTTTTTATTTCTTTGCTTTTAATGTTTGAAATCTTATGTTATATTCTTGTATGTGCTCAATAGCCTGGAATGCAGTGCCAGCCGCGCACAATGTATCAATTCAACGAGAAACAAAGTTGCATATTTTGATGAAGCCACTTCAACATGCAGCCCATGTATAATCAAACAGAAATGTATTGATCCAATCAATTAAACGGTCATGATACCAATTCGACGGATTTAAATGAGGCATCTGCTCGGAAACGTCGGTGCAACGAATGAATAATCGATGAGCGAGTCAGAGAGAGAGAGAGAGAGAGAGTCACTGTTAGACATTGGCGACGCTCCATTTCATTTTGGGTTGCAAATCGATACGCTTGATATTAATACTTGCATGTTATATACTGAATCATCGCCCGTCCCCTCATGTCCGCTCCCATCCTATCGGACCCAATGCAATCAATTAAATAATTATTGAATGACCGAACATTAATTAGGTCGTTTGTGGTTGACTAATAGATGCCCAATTAGTGGCTTAAATATTTCTTCGTCAATGTGATTTGTTTAAAGTCTTATGTCATAAATAGCGTTGAGTACATTCAATTTAATAAACGAGCATATCAAGAACTAATTGAATTCAAGTCTCATTTGGAGTAGTTGATTTATTCTCATGGCCCCATCATATTTGAACTTTTGACAGTTGAAATGATGAAACTGTGCATATTTTCGACTTATCTGTTTCGATGCGATTGGGGAAAGCTAAAGAAAGAGAGAGAGAGAGAGAGAGAGAGAGAGAGAGAGAGAGAGAGAGATGGAGAGAAGGAAGAGAGGTAGCGAATGAAAGAGAAAGAGACAAAGAGCAAGAGCAATTCGAGTTGAATTGTCGAAAATGCCAGTTTGAAGTGGAATCAAACAAGGAACGAGGCACTAAACATCACCATCGAAATTCTACATCGTCTTACCACCCGTGAAAAGTCGTTGAAGTGATCCGTTTTAATTGTTGTTGGCATTACATCGAATGAACGAAGTGTGCAGTTTGCAAATGGCAAAACTTTTGCTGCGGAAGCACTTCATTGCGCATAATATATACATTTGCATTGTACAAACTGCACATTTGGTTGATGTTGCCGTTTTTGATGGTGTGTGTGTTTTTTTTTTTGCTTCAAACCGATTCTTTAGTTTTTGTTTTCAAGTGTTTTCCTCTCGAAACTCAAACAATATGTACTGAGTGCAATAATTTTGTGTGTCGGGTCGATGATGGTGATTATTTGTGCCAGTGTCGAAACCCCGAAAGATGCAATTCATGACTTTCAAGTAAAGTGGGCAATCATCGAAAAGAGAACGAGAGAGAAAGAGCAGTTGTGCATCAACGAGCGAATCGTCGAGTTTTCAAGGCGAATTAATCCCAATTCACATTTTTTATTCAACATTTTCACAACAATCCACTCAAGTCAGCTGTTGAATCGGAGATTGACATAAACTTTAACGCAGTGAACGCAAAGCAACATCAGTTTGACTAATTTTCATGAAAAATTAAACTCAAATGGCACTTCTTTATTATGAAGCAAATTCGAACACTATATTTGGTTGTAAAACTATGAGACATACGCAGCACATCCGAACAAAAGCCACTCAAAACTTTCCCGTTGTTTGCTCATT